ATCTTCAATAACTTTTCACGCAATGGTTTTAGCATCCTTTGACGAACCTTACTGTAACAAACTATTGCACTGGTAATTTCAAAATCGTAATTTCTATACCTATTATTCCTTTTATATTAGTTGGCATTCTTATATAAAGAAGAGCTTCTCCCTTCTTTCTTTCCTCCCTTTTACGGAATATTTCTATGAGCACACTGAATCCTTTCTTCTTTATTTCAATTTCTATTACCATTATATCATTATTATTTTTAATGCTTCTTTTATTCCTAAATTGATCAATTGGTGTCCCTTCAAGCAGGATCTTGTGTTCTTTTGACACGTTCCCATTAGTCTTTAAGCACTGGCTTACCTTGTGTTTCCTTTACTCCATTCTGAAATAAGCGATTTCTTCAATGAAACCTCTGAGTGGGGAATGGTATTTAGTAACCAAGATTTCAGTTTTAATTGTACCCATTGCTTCCAGGCCTTTTAAGTGTACAGAACTATTCATTTCAAAGGCAGCACACGGGTTCTGCTAAAAACTGGTATATTATTGTTAGTTAATGCAGGCATCACAATAGTCCCAGGTAACAGAATGGAAGCAAGCCATTTCCTAGGAATTGTTTACACTGCACAAGTCAGTTACCCTTTACCTGTAACATATATCAAGATTTGTTGAATCTTTTGGTGAAAAATGAACTGAATGATATCTGAATAAATATGTGGACAAATTCTTAAATGTAGATATTTTAAATGAACTATTGTACTTAATTCATTGCTAGTATAGAAAGTCATAAGATAATTCCAAGTGTTGTGTAGATCCTTGGCCAGTTTACCTATGCCTTCAGTGTTCCCAAAGTGTGATCCACAGATAGCTAGGTGTCTCGGAGACACTTTCAAGGAATCTGAGTGATTAAAACTATTTTCATGATAATTCTAAGATGTTATTTGCCTTTTCTCACTGTTGATATTTCCAGATGGTGAAAATAAAAAAATAAATAAAACTGCTGGTGCTTTAGCTTGTGAAAGCAGAAACATCAAACTGTAGTCATGGTGCTTTTTACCACCACACACTTGTAGAAAAATAAGCCAGTTTTACATAATAATTACTTGACGAAACAATAAAAAGTATTAATTTTATTAACTACTGACCCTCTCGCACATGTCTTTGTAATATTCTGCATGAGTCAGCACGGTGAACTGCACATACATGTTAAAGCACAACTGAAATGTGATGGTATCAGAAAAAAAGCACTTTTGTGGTTGTTTTAGTTGCAGACAACTTTTTATGAAATTCCATTGTTACTGGAGAGAAAGACTGACATATAAATTATTTTTTATGAGTATTTGTGAGACATTTGCTAAAAAAAGGATGAAATGAGACTGTCATCTCAATTAAAAGAACTGACAGTATTTGTTGCCATGATACATTCTGAGATTCTAAAATATTAGAATTTTAGAAAATTTGTCTGCCACCACAAGTTTATCAACTTCCTGATACTTCTCAAGGCTTTTCTGGTTAGATTGTTGGTGTTATTAACAAATATCCTTTTTAGGTATTTTATAATAAAATGTGTCAACATTTTGGAGAACTGTATAACTCACCGAATCAGTATTTTTGAATGATCAATGTACAATATTACAAAAATCACACATTGGTAAATGATCCACTCAAAGTGCAAGATTTTAATGTAACAGAATACATTAATGAAAGATCATTAACATAGTTTTAACATCTCTAACATGTTAAAGACCTAGGATTTGTAGAATCTCTAACAAAATGTCAGCAGTTCTCAAAGGGCCTTCTCTTTAAACTAGTTTTCTCTAGTCTGTCATCATATTAATATGGATTAGCTACAGTCCCTGTCAAATTTCAGTCCTTGTCAAATTATTTGCCTTAACAGAGTGACCAACACTGTTAAATGCCATGGAAGCCCAAAATCATTGGGTATAGCTCGTTTCTGAAATGAGTATCTCAGGGGTCATTTATGACATGAAACATGGTATTCAGAGTTGCAAAACACTTCCACGGTTGTGCCTAGGGATGTGTGCAAATCCAGTGGTTGTGTAACATTTTTCCTTTCTCAACTGTTCAAAAAAAAACAAAGCAGAATACAAGTCAGAGGATTAGAATAAACTTGTATCTGCTTTAATTTACTTAAAATATAAATTGATATCTCAATTTACTTTTTTGTGGAAAACTCAAAACTTTTACTACACTGCAATTGAGAACTTTTGTAATGCACTGTGAACTTCCTAGGCAGGAACCAAGCTTTCTCTATTCTTAAATCCCTACACCTGGCACAGTGCATGGCATCCAAAATGTCTCTTGATTTGACTTGAACATTATTTCCCAATAATGAATTAACAATCTGCTCTCCAGTGACTTACACGCTTACATAAACTTTGTGTAAGTCAATTGTTTGGAATGTAGGAAAAATATGTACGTATAACCACAGTCATGTTGTTTAGTTTCTCAGGCTATTCTACAAAACATATTAACCAGGCATAATATAGTTGAACTCGAAGATTAGAACTAGCCAGAATTTTGGGTCTTGAGAGACAACCTTACAGAAGAGAGAACTTTTAATTGTGTAAAGACTAGGCTAGGGAGAGCATTTTGAATGAATAAACACTACCTTCCATGTAAAATTTTACTTTGTGGCATCTTATTATTTGAATTTGTGTGTATGTACACCTAAATATGAATATATATACACATACATGTACTATGTACACACACACACACACATATATCTTTCCTTGTTTTAGTACCATTCTAGATGTGTAGGAGAAAAGTTAATTAATTGCATGCAATGGATGCCTTGGACTGTTAGGACTTAGTCCTTTTAGGTAGTCTTGGTGGAGGAAGGTTGAAAAGACATTACCCCTTGTCCAGATGCATTTATTTCCCTAATCTTGCTTTATTTATAGCTGTGGCATTTTATTACAATCTAAATGTACACACACACACACGCACACACTCACACATATGTCTTTGTTTGTAGCCTGTCTTCCCTCCTGGAATGTTAACTTCATTCTTCATAAACTTTGCCATTTTGTCTAAAGCTTTAAAGACTGCCTGACAAGAATCTGGAGCTTAATAAATATTTTCTTAATGAATCATTAAATGAATGAATTTCCATGTTTCTTCCAAGTAGCCTATGAGTGATGTGATTGCTAGACTAAATTTTAAAACGTTTAAAGACTGCCTGACAAGAATCTGGAGCTTAATAAATATTTTCTTAATGAATCATTAAATGAATTAATTTCCATGTTTCTTCCAAGTAGCCTATGAGTGATGTGATTGCTAGACTAAATTTTAAAACAGCTTTATTGAGATATTGACATATAAAACATGTACATACTTAAGGTGTACAACTTGACATTTCTATGTACATACACATTGTTAAATGATTACCTAAATCAAGCTAATTATCGAATCCATTACTTCTACGCAGTTACCATCGTGTGTGTGTGTTTGTGTGATGAGAAGATTTAATTTAAGATCTATCTTCTTAGCAAATTACAAGTTTATAATATGGTATTACTGTCATCAGCATGCTGTACACTGGATCTTTAGGAATTCACCTATTGCTAGGCTATTGAAAAATGACCGTGTGTAGTAACTTTCCTCCAACTTGGTTTTTATCTAAAATTCTGAATTGAAGTTCTACCTCGGAGCTTTGATACTATATTTGATGCTATATTGGGTGTTTGTTTACATATGTACCAGACAGTGGAATCTTAGAATAAAGGGATTGCATTTGTTTTATTTTTAACTAAATTTGCTGTAGCATATGCTTCTTACTTAATAAAAATTTTTATTATATGAATAAATGGATTAATGAATAAAATGTAAAAAAGCATGCAAAGTTGAACAGAATTCTGTCTGTTTTATTGTCCTCTAACTTGCTAATTATAAAACATATTTAATCAAGAACCCTCCTGGATATCAATGCAGTGTAAAGGCAACTAGACTTTGAGTCTGAGTCTCCAACTTATGATCCTAATTCTGCCCTTAACTCTCAATTTTGTGTTTTTGCTAAGTCACTTAGCAGTTCTAGGTCATAATATCTACACTAGAATACCCCCCAGTACATGAACTCTGTCAAACAAATGTAGGAATGAGAAAAAAAACAAGTGTCAAATTGTTTCAAAAAACTTAAACATAGGCTATAAACTATAACAGGCACTGCTTCTATCTTAAATGATTTTTGAATTTTTTTAATTATTTGAGCCTTGTTTAAAAAAATAAACAATCTATATAACAGTGATATACTACTATCTCCCTTGCTGGTTAGTGAGCTAATAATGAATATATCTGGCTCATAATAAACACTCTGTAAACGGTAGTTATTGTCGTTATATTAACTATTTCATAGCCTGCCCTTCCAAACTTGAAACTAAAGTCCTCATTTCCATCAGTCACCATTCCTAGGGAAGGATTCTGCTTTAAAAATGTTAGGTGACCACAATTTTCTTTTTATCTCAAAGAAACAAACTGCCTTCCCTTCAGAACATTATAAAATCCTGAGTACTTTTTTTTAGATTTAAACTTCATTAACTTCCTAAATTCTCCTTCTTATACCTTAGGGCCCCTACGTGAAGTCCAGGCTCCCCTTCTTTTCACTCCGTTTGTTTCTACTCTCTCCTCCAAAGTCACCTTTGGCTCTTTTTGGGAGGAGGGGAAACTGAGGGGGTTTTATTTTTTGTGGAACTAGTGATCAGTTCAAGGAAAAGAGACAGTCATTTGGCAGCAAGTAGTAAGTACAAAAACCAATCAGTTATTTTAATTTTCATCTTCTTGTTTTGATATTTTAATAGACACAGATTCTATCCAAACATCTTCATCACAGAGAGAAGACCAGATGCCACAAGCAGAAACATATAATATGCTTACCACTCATAAATATTACATGATTCCACAAGGAGCCCATGCCTACTGTATTTAAAGATTTTACATTCTGAGTACCTAAAGAACACAAAAATGTATAATAAGAAGTAAATTGCCTACTCACGAGGATATAACTCAGTGAATCTCTCCATGTCTGTTGGCTTGGTGGTGTTGAGCTTTTGGCGAATATTCTGATCGGTTTCATACTGAACAAATAATCCAAATAAAACAATGATGGCAACCTCCAGACCAATGGCCATGAGAGGGAATTTGAACCTCATGTTTGTGGCAAAGGACGGAGGCACACTGAGGGCTCCACAGGCTGTGAGAGGTTGATAAGAACAGAGGACTGCTCTGCAGGCAGAATTAGGCTGCATGTTCAAGGCACCCCAATGACATCACAAGAAAAAAAATAGGTAAGATTGGTTAAAATGTCTCATGAGTTGGGGAAAATTATTCTCTGTAATCTAATTGCTATTCTGAATGCTGGTTTAAAGAATATACAATGTAGATTGGGAGAAGCCAGATAATGGAAATTATCTATTGCATAAGTGTTTAGAATCCTTCTTGAGGGCTTATTGTATGCCTGACATTGTGCTAGGCTCTGTAGGAGACACAAGTCTAAACAAAATATAGAGTGGGTATATTCACTTCCTTGAGGAAGTTAAGAATCTAATTGAAAAGACAGAAATATAAGCAAATTATTTCATAAAAACAAATAAGTAATATAATAGTGGTTATAAAGTATGAGAGGACATAATTAAGGCAGCAATATGAGGGTACTTCAAAAAGTTCATGAAAAATAGAATTAAAAGAAAATATGAATCTTTTCATGAAATTTTTGAGATTCCTTTGTACATTTTTCTATCGGCCATGAACAGAAGCATGTAAAAAGGGATTGATATGGGAGTTAAAAAATAAATAAGGTTTTGCCAGTAAAACAGATAGAGGGACCAGCACAAGGCTTGAGAGAACATGACATGTTTGAGTGATAGCAATTAGTTAAGTAAAGCAGGAATATAGGAAAGATAAGGAGGGAAGAAGGGAAGGCCAGAGACAAAGCTTGCGAAGTAGCTGGGCTGGGTTGTAAACGGCCTTGCATTCAGTATCAAGGATGCTAGATGTTGAATATCGTCCCGGGGCAATAGGAAATATACAGCACTAAAAGAAATGATTTTGCTTATTTAGGATAATGTTTTTCTTGACTCTTTAGTCTGATTTACACAAACGTAAATACGTAAGTACACAATTGCATTGGAATAAATGTTTTAGTCTTAAGAAAGGGAAAGTGAACTTAAACTGGGACATAGCTAATCCACTATTTATCCAAGTGTAAATAAGATGCTGAGAAATTCAACTGCTACATGGATGGAGGAGGCCTTGGCTCCATTCTGGAATTGTTCTCATAGCAGAATAGACCTGTTTTTGAGAACTTAGAGCTAGCAGTTAAATAAAATTCCTTTCTCTAAGCCCCATTTCCAAAGGATTCATGCAGAATATGGAGGAGACTGTAAATGACTGCTAAGCTGAAGTCTTACATCATAACAAATGCTCATAAAAAGAAGCAGCTAGGTTATATTTTTTGTTTGTTTGTTTTTGTCTTTCTGGTGTGTTTTTCCACAATTAAACATAAGATGTTAAGAATAAATGATCTCTGAAATTTTATAAATGTACAAGTCAAAGACTTTAAAAATAGCTATTTCCATTGTTCCTTACAGCATGGTCCAACAGGAGTGGGTTCACATGCTTCATTATGGGAATGCACGTGTACATCTCACACTTTGATTTCTGGTTTTTCAGTGACCTGAAGAGTGTTTATGAGAACTCCAACAGATCATAAATGCCAAGTATTTATATTAATAAACTATATGCAGCTTGTGAAACCAAGTAACAAATTATACATTGCAAGAACATCTAAACAATATCATAAGTCAATGTGGCTTTAAACTATTTAATTAAGTGATAAATTTTATTAAATAACCCAAGACCTATTGCATCTCTCTTTCTCTGTGACACTTCCAGCAGCTCAGCAATCACTAAACCCACTGAGAGTAGAAGACTCCATCCATGTAGGTGATGGGACTGTTGTAGGCACTGACTTTAGTCTGTTCACTTTGAGGAGTTCAGACTTGTGGCCCTTCTTCTAAACACAGACCTTTGTACTGAAACTTACATGCATCATGTACAATCTGGGAAAAGCTCTTCATACAAGCTATTCTCTCTAGTTGGAACACTCTTCTCACATGTTCTCTCCTCCCACCCCACACGCATCATCTTTCAGTTCTCCAATGTGTACAATCTGGGAAAAGCTCTTCATACAAGCTATTCTCTCTAGTTAGAACACTCTTCTCACATGTTCTCTCCTCCCACCCCACACGCATCATCTTTCAGTTCTCCAATGAAGTGTCCCTTGCTCAGTACAGCCTTCCTTGACCTCCCATTTTAAAGCAGGTTCTATTATCTCTCATTGAATCATGATTTTTTCTTAGCACTTAGCATAGTTGGCTGAATGTGCTAGATTTATGTGGTGTTTGTATTTACATGTAATTTTTAAAAAATGGCTCTTTTACTGACCAGTTAGATGCAGCAGGACAGGGGCTGTGTTTCTTTTGCACATCATTTGTTGTCTAGAGTCAATACTGAGCTCAGTGGGCAATTTGAGTGAAACGAATTAAGGGCAGACTTGAAGGGGGGAAAAGACTCAGAAGGCAGTCTGAATGGTGTGAGGAAAGAAGATAAGAAGAGCTTCAACCTAACAAATTACATTTTAAATTATGGGTATGTAAAATCCCAGCAGTAACTTTAACTTTGCTGTCTGCTCTCCTATTGTTCAATCAGTGAAGGCTTATTATCAGGCTCTCTGTGCCTGGAACAAAACTCAGGATCAAACTCAAACATGAAGCTTGGAAGGATCACAATCTGGAGGAACAGACACATGGCAGTACAACCACGAAGATTCCAATAGCCTTTAAAAAAAAAATCTCCCTCCTGACAGTTCCTAATCACAAAGACAAAAGGCTGGGGGATGCAGGTGTTATAAAGTGGAAATGATTTACATGTTGCCTTATCTGCCTCTGAAACTGCAGGACCTGCTCTCTTCCACTACCTTCAGCAAGCAAGGTAAAACAGGAAAGAGTCATGAATAAGCCATGTTCTCATCCTAGACTGATCCTTAGCATGCTGTGTGGCTATAGGAAAGTGACAATTTCTTTGTCTTAATTTCTGAATATATGTGAAATGTGGCTAATGGTTATCGTTAGAAACTTTAATTTGAGTTTGCTTGTTTTTATTGGCAAAGAATGATTGAAACAGGACTGCTACAGCTTTTAAATCATCTCTCTTTCCATCTTTGTACATCTGCAATGGTGGGGGCTGGAGTGGGTTTTGGCAAATGAAAGTGCTAAAATATTTTCAACATTTTCTATGTTCTGGACACTGTGTTAAGTGCCTATTTACCCACTGCAATTTGATATATTTTAATATTTTACAAACATGACTTGCTCCATCGGTTTACATATGTAGTTAGTTACTCAAGCACCCGACTGCCATACTGGTAGGAAGTTCAGTGACTCCCTTTTGATACTTCTGTAATGTTTTAATTACAAGTAGAAACCTTGATCTTTATTTAGCCTAATGGAATGGTCAATCCAACTTGTCTTCCCATGTGAGAAGACAGAAACATTTCTTGCTGCCATCTGGTATTTGGTGAAGAAAAGGTCTTTCTTCCTCCCACAAAGGCTCAGGTCTGTAGTTCAATATATAGTTGAAGCTGTCCCCTAGGTCTTCCTCCTCAGCCCAAGTGTCTGCAGTCATTGTTATTTCCTAGAACTAACACTAAGCAGGGTTATAGGACCAGAGGAATCAGTACTAGCATTCCCAAAGCAGCTGTCCAAGGCTTAGGTTCTTATCTTAAACCGGGGGGCTCTTAACATTTTCTGGGCTGTGAACATTTTTGGCAGTTAGTTGAAGCCTCTGAATCCTATCTCAAAAAATATTTTAAACACACAAAACAAAATACATAGAATTACAATGGGAATGAGTTATATTCAAATATGCTGATTGAAATATGATAAAATCCAAATTTCTGATATACATGCTTCTTTATAATGCATAAAATAACAAGATCTAGTGCCATTTTCAATAACTAGTGTAATTTCAAAGTAGGAGTAATGAGTGTAAATAATATTTTGAGATATCTAAAGCAAGTAAAATATGAAAGAAAATTTTGTATCATTTCTATTGGTGACAAAGTCATAAATACTACTAATGATACTGTTGTTCATTTACTACATTTACAATGGAAAGAAATGCTAAATTTCAGTTAAATGCACCTTTTTCCCTATTCAAATGTATGGACCACCTAAATTATATTCCTGCAATCCCCGGTTAAAAATGCCTGTTTTCACTTTGGCCAACAGCCTTACTTCTCTTTTTCTTCAGTATCAGTAGTCTTCTTATCATTTCTCATTTCTGTTAGTTCTTGGGGACAAATTAGTTTATACTAATGAATCTTCTTAACTTTGAATCCCAGGGAAAAGTTGAGGGATATCAGTCAAAATCTTCCCAGGAGAGCCTGTACTTTTTAGACAAGTCGATTTCATCCTGCTCATATGATCAACTTTTCATCAGAAGTGCTAGAGGGCTTCTGAAGTGATCCTTAGCAAAGACAGTAACAATAACTACTCCAAGTTAAAAGGGAACTCTAGACAGTTGATAAACTTGAGGTTCAGTGTTTAAGCAACTTGTCCAAAGTTGCAAGGCAGAGCCAGGCAACCACAGGTCTGTCCAATTTCCTAAATTTAACCCCTTTCATCTATACTATCTTGTTTTTCTATATAAGATAACTTATGCTCATACTGATTTCAAGGTATGAATAAAATCAAAGAAACTTATGAAACATCAAAGAGAGGAATTTTTATTTTAGCATTATTTTTTGTTTACTGTATTTCATTTTACTTCAATTTGGAAAGTACTATCAAATTAAGACAGATGTCAACTTTCCTACTTGAAGCACTCTTTTTCCCAAGTCGGATAGATCTAGATCACAGAGCAACTTTTATATCTGCATATGGTTAGTAAACAGATGTTGCTAAACTTTGGCTTTATTTCAGAATCTTAAAATTGAAAATTGAGGTTTATCGATCTAGATCACAGAGCAACTTTTATATCTGCATATGGTTAGTTAACAGATGTTGCTAAACTTTGGCTTTATTTCAGAATCTTAAAATTGAAAATTGAGGTTTATCTGGTTGAATATGTTTTCAAATGCCATTTCTTTTTT